CCTTGTATTGTCTTCTGAGGGTCGCATGTTTGACACCAACCACGAGATGTGTTATATCGCTTGCAGTTTGCACATTTTCCATTATATTTAGATCTTTTAGAATTAAATTTATCGACCATAATTCTAAGATGTTAAAAGAAATTAATAATCGTTTGTAGCAACGTACGTACGTACATATATACTGTATAACAAAAGTATGTTGCACTAAATATATTGCAATATGAGTGTCGTTAAAAGAAAACCCGAAATTTTAAATATGACTTATATTTAACTTTTCGGGGTTTCTTTTAGCGACACTCAGATCATACATTATTATTTAGAAAAACCTGATCATATTTTATAAAACCGTATTCTTTTATGAATATGCACTAGTGTTTCAAGTCGATATAGCGTAAGTCGACTAAGTTAGTCGTTTTTTAAAATATCGGCTTAGGCGACTATAAATATGTACTATCATAATAACAAGCTCATCGCATTATGAACTGGTATAAAAAGCACTTGCAAAATTAAATAAATCATCAGAAATTGGCCAAATGATGCATTCTCGAATCACTTGATTATTTAAATTATTTATTAAAAATTGATCCAAAAGGTGCAAACTCATTAAAAAAAATCGTAGAGTAATATATTATCAATTAGAGGAGCTTATTATATGACAGGCAGATATGAACATTCTCTTTTAGACATAAATGATCATCATATATCGATCCAAATAATGCAAACATTCACTTGCAGATTTATACAAACCATCAACGTTGAATCCAAATGTTGCAGAAGCAATGAGAGGTAATTATCGAATGTTAAGAAAATAAAATAAGGTAGCTGCAAACCGGGAACGAAAGCAAATATAGTAGTTAACAAATAGTCCAAGTAACGTACAAACGAGAACTGATCTAACATCTCATTAATATATTGAGAAGCATTTGATATACACTATAGGTAATCAACTCGCATTAGCTAATCGAACAAAAGTTTACAAAGCATTATATAATAATTATCAGATTATTAGGTTATCTGAACAAAATGTTAAATATTATTATGATAATTCTTTTCTATAGATCCTAAAAATACTAAGTAAACAAAATAATAGGCAAAATTTATTTTAAAGATAGTATTATAGTAAATAATTAAAGAACATTATATCTATTCTGGTCTCTGGTCATACAACTTATAAATAATTAGCATCATTACTACAAACAAAGAAAACAAACACAGGTTAACTGATCTTACATCTGAGTTCTCTTTTAAAACAATATTATAATTACAAATAAATAAAAATAAATAGCTAATATTAACAATAATCTACAAAAAAATAGAGTCAAAACTAAATAAGACAAAAAGTAAGTAACCTAATATCTGAAATTTAAAAGAATCATATCTAGATATTCACGGTGGTGCAAGTAGAGTTATTCCATACATAATTCAATTTCGAATATAGATAGTGGGATTGTCAAAATTAGAAATTAATTAATTTTTACAATTAAAAATGGAATACTGATCGAAATTTTGTCTAGTATATTCAACGATTTTAAAGCCAAAGTTCTTTTATAATTATGCAAAGATTATTTTGAATTTGTTGAAAAGAATTTTTCGTAAAAAGATCTTGTATGAGAGTATCGACAAGTAGTTATGAATTTTCATTGCATAAATAATTTAATGTACGGTATGTTTTACAAGAATTTTTGTGGATGAATTTTGTTGATGCGGGATGAAGAAAATGAAGAATACATATTTTTTATTGTGATAATTATTTGGCATTTTGCACAAAGACGAAAATTGAGGCTTTGTTAAACTTGTCTACGCTTTAATTATTACATTCGTCATTTTTAGCTGATTATTAGACACGTCATTCACGCGCTTGAATGGCTAATAGATACTCAATACATGTTTACATTGAATCTGCGATAATTTAATTGGTGTATTCATTTTTTCATGAATAACGCCAGGACGAAACTTACTTGATAACTTCACCTTACGATTCTGATGGCACTATCATAAATTGAATACTACCCTATGCTTGTTAGGGTTATAAATTTATTGTTTTAATAATAACTAATATGAATAGGGAATGTCAAATCTTACGCAATATCTAGAATGTCATCTTATAGTAAAAATAATATCTTCAAAAGAAAAAACAATTTTTTTATTGCCAAAAATTGATAGTCTATTTTGGTTATTCTACAAAAAATTTGATACAAAAGTACGTACGTAGCTTATTTCATTCTATTGGAATGTACAGTACCTACGTTTTTTTTAAGGCATGTGATGTCCTTTACTTATGTACATTTTAAATAAATTTTCAGAATAAATCGAAGAATTCGAGTAGTTTCTTATATTTTAAATTTCTTTAAATAGATCAGGATACTTAAATTCATTGGACAGATCGATGCATTGAAAACAGTTGCTCGTGTTGTAAATTTCTAATAATTTTAAAATTCTTTAGATAATCGAAACATGTACAGTAGATTTCCACATTTTAGAAAACTTAGTGAAATTCCTTTAAAATTTTTCATTTTGTAATAAAAACTTTTACACCACCCGATCGTGTAATCTGATATAACTCCATGCGTAATGATTATATCATGATCACGCAGATCATGATATTGTCATTACTACGTACTGTACAGTACTACGTAGTTGCTTATATTGCATGTGAATTTAAAAAATTTATTACTACCAGTTAGTTATTTCCTTGTGATAATTAATATCGATATTACATAATTTTGTTGGCATGCCAAATAACTATATATTATTTTTCGGACTTCTAGAATGCTTCTGAAACAGATGGATACTAGGTGTCTGTTCTAAGTGTAAAGAAAAAGAATTTTGGGACATGATACAATAAAGTATACGTAATAATTTGAGTAACTATATGGGGTTTAATATGCGGTGATCCATAAGTACAGGAGTACAAATAAGGCTAATCGTCAGCCTTCAAAATATGTATAACAATAATTTAGATTTCATAATGATAAAAGTTTTGTAAAGAAAAATGATTTTTGAAAAATTTAATTTGCTTAAAGAGTCTTATATTCCAAAGCGATTTATAATCATTATCTTTTGCGTGACTGGCATTATTATCAGTTATGCAGGTATGTATTTACGTACCCGAAATATTCAAGATTCATATTAAAATGGTTAAATTTTTTAAAAGATCGATCAAACATGGCTATTGCCGTAGTCTATATGACAAAGGAATTTGGCTTTACATCATCGATTCAAGGTGTCATACTATCATCATTCTTTTTGGGATATTTAACAACACAAGTTTTAGGTGGTGCTCTTGCCGATAAATATGGTGGAAAATGGGTATTAAGCGTTTGTAAGTAGTATTAAGTTGTACTTTTTTTAGAAAGTTATACTTGATATCGAGAAATGAATGTGTTTAACTTTTTTTCAAATTCAAAATTTACCTTAGTGTCTTTGAATGAATTAACTGAATCATATATAAATATTTTTAGCTGCCGCATCATGGACACTATTTACCTTTCTTACACCGATTTCCGCTAATTTTGGTTTAGGATATCTCATAATATGTCGAATACTTTTAGGTATTGGTGAAGGTGCATGTTTTCCGTCTGTAAACACTTTGATTGCGGCATGGTTCCCAACAGAGGAGGGTAATAAAGCGGTTTCAACTACAGTATGTAAGTATAATTACAATTTCATCACAGGGTTGTGTAAAATAACTTTTATTAATAAAAATAAGTTTGAATTGGGTATGTAGCTTCAGCTTATATAGGGATTGTGATTGCTTTGCCGATATCAACTTGGTTAGGTTCAGGCCCTTTGGGATGGCATAGTATTTTTTGGACATTTGGTACAGCTGGATTTGTTTGGTCTATATTATGGCAAATTTATGGCAAAAGCAGTCCAAATGAGTATTCAGGAATAAGTCAAGAAGAATTGGATTTGATTTCAAAAACCAAGAAAAAAAATAAACCTAGTAAAAATTTGAGTTATCATATAATAGAGTCTAGTGAAATTGCTATTGAATCAACAAGTGAGAATGATAATACAATTTCTGATGCTCCATTAACAAACTTTACCGTTGAAGATAATAATTTTGAAGCTGAGGCTGATGTACTATTGCCAGAGAATTTAATATTGGCAAATCCAAAAGATGTTCCATGGAAATTTCTTCTTTCTCGTCGTGAAGTGTGGGCTATACTCATTACACAATTTTGCAATTCATTTGGTAACTTTATCATACTTAACTGGTTGCCAATTTATTTTTTGGATCGTTTTAAATTAAATCTTAAAAATTTCGGTTATTATTCTGGTAAAAGTTTTTATTTTATAATTAAAAATGTTGCTGCTCGTGATTATGATTTTTATTTGCATGTATATTGAAACCTGTAACTTTTTTTAGTGCTTCCTTATGCTACGCAAGGAACCACCGGCATTCTCGCTGGGATTATATGTGATTACGCAATTAATAAATTGAATATTCGTATAAAAACTGTACGGAGAGGTGCTCAATTAATTGGTGCAATTGGAACATCAACATTTCTTTTATGTGTAAGTTTTATGTGTAAATTTTTCAAAATTTTTTGATCATTTTCTTTGTATTAATGTATTTCAATTTTTAATTTATTTATTAGACAGCATATTTAGCACAAACACCTTTGCAAGGAATAATTTTAATATCAATTGGCACTGCATTAAACTCATTTTTTAGTTGTAGTGTACATGTGTCTCAGGTAAATTTTAATAATTATTTTTATTACTTTATATAATCATGATTTTTAACAAAATTTACATTAATTTATTATGATAGTTGGATATAGCTCCAAGATACGCTGGTGCGATTTATGGGTTGGGAAATACATGTGCTGGAATTCCAGCTGTATTAGGAGTGGCATTCACAGGATGGATATTAGATGTTACAAACAGAAATTGGAATATTATTTGGATTTTGGTTACTATTTTTTATGCTACCGGTTCCATATTTTTTGTTAAATGGGTTGGTCATAAAGTTATAACCGGTTGAAAATGTTATTGTAATAACTATAACTACAATGTTTAAAAAAATATACATAGTACAAATTTTGACAATTGGAGATACTTTAGTTGTTTTGATTAATCACTAATACGTATCATATATTGTCCCAAAAAAAATTAAATTTTGCATCAAGTTCAGATTTCAACACTAGCCAATTTCAGCATCAACCAATTTTTGCATCATCAACCGCAGACGGCGAAATCACCTATATTGGTCATCTACTAGTTTATCATAAATTATGACTGGGCCTTCCACGGGTTTATTTTACATCAGAATAGCTCCAATCAAAAAGTCATAATCAGATTTATTTCTAATAGTGCTATTTAATATTAAAATAAATCACACCTTAAATGCATTTAAGAATTTTATTTCCACATAATAATTACTCTGCCTTGGGAAACTTGAACGACAGGAAAAGAAACCTGAATATTTGATTCGCTTTATCTGCAAAATTGATCTTGAAATGAGTAAATATGATCAAATACGTATATGTAAAGTTGATCGTTCTAGTTGCTTCAATGTGCTTTAGCCATCAATCCATACATCTATTTACAGATAAATGGTTTAAAATAAAAAGATGATGTGTGTTCTAGAACTAATCACGTAGAATCAGATTCTTCAGGGTCAAATCCGAAAAGGTGAAATTTAGCAAATCAATTTACAGGTTTTCCCTTTCCATCACTCACTTGATTAAGTTTGCAGATAATTAGTTAAGGCAACATGGCAATGACAGAAAATTTTGATGTCAGACTAACATCAAATTCAATGAAATGAAATATATTCAGAATCAAAAAAAAAATTTATGATCAACGTTTTGATTGTAATAAAAATTTTATCGTTATTCCACACCAGATCTTGTTGGCATCATTAATTATCACAATTCTGCGCATGTACATACGTACCTGACTAAACATGACCTTCATAATGTGAATTTTCGTGTTTCTAATAATAGCAAATATGAAACGTGAACAGAAATTTGGGTAGTGTTAAAATTAGTATAGACTCTATGGGACAACGAAAATAATAAAGTAATCTATAATTCTTGAGGCATCTATATTAAATATTTATCTAATGTAAATAAGCAGATATTATAACATGGCTTCACAATATGCTAGTAGTGAAAATTTGCAAGAATACTAAAAGTAACTTGTAAAACTATGGACATATAAGCGAGGATACAACACTTCGCATTTTATTTTTACATGATAAAAGCTTCAAAGAGATCTTACAAGTGTTATATAGTTTGTCTGATTTTATATTTATTAAATTACTAATACTTTAATAAATTAGTTCCTGATGAATATCTTAACTTATATCAAAGAAAATCAAAAATGGATTATCGAAGCAGATAAATGAAACATCTATAACTTCAAATTCAATTGCTGCCACATATTAACTTTTGTGTCTTATTATGAATATAAATGTGATCAGAAAATCGGGTATTGATAGTTTTGGTGTAATCCTCTGGAAAATTTTTAGTCGAAGGTCACTATTTCAAATCTTTCAATCAAAGATATGATAGAGTCCTGTTTTCATATTTAGAAAGGAAGAAGTAAATATATAAAGTACATATTTCAATATATTATTCAGATTCAATAGTAATGAGAAAGATTTTCAAGGTTTACATCAATAGAAAACTTTCATACCTGTATATGTGATATCAATTATTTGAGATTGTAAAATAACCAATAAAATTTTTTATTTTGTTTATATATATTTCATTCTGATATGTTGAATTGTATTTAAAAACAATTTGAAAGAAGGAGAGTGTATAACTAGTCACACGTGCAACTTTTGGTTGCCTATTTAAATAGTTCACCTATAAGTTCTATGCTAGCTGTCATGTCTATAATCTACCAGAAGATTATTTATTTAAACACTCTGAACCTTATACTACATTAGACAAATAGTTTCAAGGTTCTTGTACATCTAAGTGTCATTTAATTCAACATTTAGTCAGGTTTTTATATATCTAATTGTACTATCTAATCTAATATTTAGCATTTTTTTGTACATATATTAGGCTGTTATTCATTTCAAAGCATATTACTTAACTGTAGAGTTCAGGATAACTTCTTATTAATTAATCTACTTACTCTATGAACCATTAACAGGATTATGTCCTTGTTGAGTTTATTTGAATCTCAGTACCTATTTGACAATATATTTTTGGTATTTTAGTATATTTTTGTTTTGTTCTTAGAAGAATTATTAGTATATCAAGTTCAGTTTAATATTTTTTTCTTCTGATTTAAACTTGGTAGCTTAATTGATAATATTCATTATCTAAAGATTCTTATTTATTTGATTTCTTTATATTGGTATTTATTTTCTAGGTCTAATTTTTATAATGGTATTGTTAAAGATCTGTATTATCTTTTTACTTAAATATTTTTAAATATAATTGTATCAAAAGAGTTAATAAAGTTATTGGTATTAAGTAGATTAAAATGTGATCATGTTTGGTAAATGGTATTATTCTAAATAAGATTAAAGAATTTAATAAACTAAGAAGAAGTAGATCTATGTATAAATTTTTTAGTTCATATATATATATTATTTCAAGATAAAAGATATAAGTTGTAAGGAGTGTGGTGTCCTAGTAAAGTGGTCAGGTTGTCAACCTTCCAAGTGGTAGATTAAATGTTTCAAATTTGAATAATCACCTATATAATATTTATATTACAATAATTGTTACCAATAATTAGATTAGAATACCTGTAATGACAGTCACACCAGCATGACTGGCAAATTATAAGACATTTGTGTAGTTATAAAAAGAATACAAACTGACAATTAGGCAGTGTAAATACTAAATATGTTCTTATAGTTATGTAATTTCTTGAAATTAAGTAACAAGAAATCTATTTGGAAAGATAAATAGTTAGATTTTTGATGATTTTATTGTAAAAATTAGTCTAAAAAAATAGATATTAAGGTTATAATACCTGGTCATAGTACCTAAATAGACAAAAACCTTCAAATTGAAAGTCTCAAAAGTACTACCAACCAGGCTGTTAAAATAAATTAGAAAAAAAGAATATTAGACCAATCCAATATACTAATAGACTGGTCATAGTTCTATATAGGCTATCTGAATTAGGAGTTTAGTAAGAAGACAGATGAAAAAACAAAAGTATACTAAAATACTAGAGTTAAGCTGTAAAATAGATGCTGAATTTATATGAACTCTACAAAGGCATAGTGGTTAAATAATATAACTCAAACTGCAAATGTTAGTTCTGTTATAGTGATATCAAGTTAGTTATAAAAATAGATACAGAAGACTTCAGGAGATTTATCTTAAGAATAAAATAGTCCTAAGATTGAGATGATGATCTGGGTATCTAGGTATGATCTAGTAATGTTAATACAGATTACTGATTTAAAGAGTTTAAAGTAGAATATTTAAGTAAGGATGTTAGATATAGTAGTTGATAATGAACCTTTAGGCAGACTCTTTAAATAAGCAATATAAAAAAGTTATATATATATTCAATTATATACTCTTCTGTAATAATTCACTAAATTATATTATCAAAAAAATTGTTAATAAAAATCAAAAGACTAAAGAGATTACCTTAATACCAAAAAAAAGATATAAGTTGTCAGCTATTGTAAGTTGTTCAATAAAAAGTATTTTATTATTATAAAAACTATAAATTAGAAAAAAAATATTAGATAAAAGTATATTATATATTATTTTTTTTAAATATTAATGATGAGACCATACCTTTAACTTTATTGAAATTCATTTAAAGTTTTTATAAAAAAAGCTTGCTTTTAAATTATATATGAAGAATAAAGACTCAGACATATAATCTGCAATCTAAATCTACAAGAGTAGCCAAGGCTCATCTAGATTTGGATGTTAGTAATAATATAAGAGAGAGGAGTATGATATTTAATCCATTGGATAGTCCAAAGATTAATTTTAGTAATAATTTGTAGTATTGAGATAGAAGGTAATGGTAGATTAGAAAGAGAGTTATAAGTTGAGTTTGTAGTAAATGTGTTTTGAGACTGTGCAGAACATGAAATACATAATGAAATCCATATTTGTTTATATATTTGTTGATTTAAATGAAGAAGAAATTTAATAGAAAGAGAAGTAGCTGTATAATAGAAAATAAAAGTATTATAAATAGTAGAAATAAGGTCAATAGAAACTAAACCAGATAGGGTAGAAATAAGAGATGGCATGTGTGAAGAGTTATACAATTTAAAGCTATTAAGTGTGAGAATTTCTTGATGTAAATTAGAAACAAGATTGGTAGATATGTCAAGAGAAGTAGCAATTAAGATGCAATTAAGAGAATTAGAGATTAAGTAATAAATTGTTTGGATAGAAGAACAAAAAGTTTAGTATAATAAAGAGCTAGTTTGATTGCATTAGTGACAGAGAGAAAAATAAGAGGAATTATGTTTGTAAAGAGTGTAAGGAACAGATAATTCATCCAAGAGAATTTTAATATGAAAGGTTTTTAGAATAGAGGAATAGAAGCTATAGGCAAAATTAGAAACCTTTTGATTGTTATTAATGTAAAGCCAAGTGGCTTTCCAGTTGATGTTAGAAGCAATGGTAGACCATTGTTAGAAATAATGTTGAGATGTCTGAAGTATTATAATATGAGCTTGACAGATAGTATAAATGAAGCATCAAATAAAAATCTCAATAGAAAATTGGTCAATAAATGAAGTGTAGACAGGATTGTAAGAGTTGTTAGTTACAAATATTAAAAAGAGTAATATTTGATAAATATGAGCAAGTTGGTTAGCAAGGTTATTAAATAGGTCATCTTGGTGTGCAGTAACTTTGTAAAAAATAAGTTGAATGTTGTATGAGTTAATGAAGTTGATAAGAGTTTGCCAGATAGAAAAATATGAAGTATGAGTATAAAAAAGTTTGGATGCTGATAAGCAGATATTATGATATTTAGAGATAACAGATTGTGAATTGTATATTGTTTTTATTCTTGTAAGAATAT